AAGGAACTTGGTCAGTTTATTGCCAAGGAGCCACTGTGCTAATGCCCCAAATTAGTGGTTACATGTACACTAACACATATATGCCAAAACAATGGACTGGCTACATGAATGGCAGGACTTTCTATTCTCTCCTCATTCAGAGAAAGACATTGCCTCTGAGATACATCTTTATGCACAGACGCAAACAAGTTAAGTATTAACCCCGATGTATCAGGGTACCACTCTCTAATGTATTGAGGTAGCACCCATTGATGTGTCCAGGTGCCATCCATTATCTTGTACGTATTGGTTTCCTCAAATATCTCTATCCATTATGCTGTTATCCTGACCTTATCCTTCAGATGGGTCAGCATCTTCCTGTTATCTTTGGGGAATGGGTTTGGCATCCACGTATTCTGGTATCAGCTTTCTGGAAACTGTTTGCATGTTTATTCTTCTGCCGAGAAAAAAAAATCCAGGTTTTGTGCAGGAAATAGCCCAACTTCATTATCATGCACATTGTGTAAAGAGTTGTCACTTTGGATGGGCTATCACCAGCAGGAGAGTGAATTTGTGTGCGGGGGTGGAGGGTGAGAAAACCTGGATTTGTGCTGGAAATGGCCCACCTGACGATCACTTTAGATAAGCTATTACCAGCAGGACAGTGGGGTGGGAGGAGGCATTTTTTCATATTCTCTGTATATAAATAAAGTCTGCTGCAGTTTCCACGGTATGCATCCGATGAAGTGAGCTGTGGCTCACGAAAGCTCATGCTCAAATAAATTGGTTAGTCTCTAAGGTGCCACAAGTACTCCTTTTCTTTTTGCAAAGTTTACTGTGAAAACCCCTATCCTCAGTTCTATGCATGACTCCGAGGGACATCAAGGGGCCAAACAGGCCCTTACCCAGCAAAACCATCATTGAAATTAAATTTTGTTGGAGAAAAGACAAAGAGCTCCATTTTGCCACTTATGGTATCCTTGCAGAAACTCCAGGGGGTGTTATATGCCAAAGAAGCACCATGCCTTCGGAAGCTGCAGGAAATGCAGGGAGTGCAAGTCACCCTTTCAGAGGTTACACACACTCTCCCATTGACTAGAAACTATGCTCAGATTATTCAGTATTTGCCAATCCAGGGTTAGTTGCCCCCCTTCCTGTTTAGGGTCTGGTACTAGTGACTGTCAGTCAGGTTCTGGGTCTAGACAGACCACAGCTGGGATGTGGTATGGCCATGCTGAGGCTCCTTCTTACCATACACAGCCCCAGGCAAGTCAATGGTATTTACAAAAAGGTGCAACAGGGAGCTAAAAACACAACCTGGCTTTCACTGGGATTTGGGATCTTCACTCATGGAAAATTCCGTGCTACATGGGTAATGTTTGCACCATCTGGGCCATCAGATTGCAAGCACCACAAGGGAGGGACCTGTCTTCCGAGGAGTTTGGGTCCTATATACAACAACGAATAACGATGCTGATCATAAGAATGTGCAGGTCTCATTGGTGACAGATTAAACGTTCCAAGCAGTTGAGACTGCCTGTCTCTGTCCGTGAAATAACTCCAGTGTGATCAGCACACTTACCAAAGCCACGAAAGTAGCAGCTGGAGAGTGTTCATCCTTGACTCCTGAGGAAGCAGAGCCTGAACAGCCTGGGCAGCAGCATTCCCTCTCTCTGTCAGGCACGCAGTGCAGCAATGTTTATAGCCCAGTGGGTAAAAGCTATGGAGGACAGATAATCAATTGGGAATCACCGTTGATCACATTGTTACCCGTTTTAGCTCGACCAGCACAAATGCAAAAGACTTAAAAGGTGAATGATTTGAAGTCTTTCTGAACCGACTGGTGCAGTGTCCCAGATTTAGGGGTAACCCAATTCACAAGATGTTTCGCAACATTCAGCAATAGCCCATCTCAGACCTGGGGTAAATGGTGTAATGCATGAGTCAGGGGACTGGCACTGACTTGCATTCGGTCAGGATTTGACCCTGATATTTTTTTCCTCAAAGAGACGTTAGTTCTTGTGAAAGGTGCCCGCTTGACAGACCTGGAGATGCCTGTGCTATCAGGAGCCAAAATTCCACACGTACTATTGTGGATGGACAGCACCAAGGGTGTACTGTTTGGCACATGGGCGAGTGAACTTGTAGTCTTTCCAT